AATAAATAAATAAATAAATAAAGGCATTGTGTTGTATCCATTTACAAAAAAGATTCTCTCTCTCTCTCTCTCTCTCTCTCTCTCTCTCTCTCTCTTAAAAAAATCAGCATTCTTATTCCTAGCATTTTATAGTGTTAAAATGAATCTCAAAATCTTAAAGTCTAAAAAGTCATGTGGTGTTGGGGGCCAGAATTGAGATTTGGGGTTTCTGGTTTAGACTAGCCTGTCATTTCAGAAGAGGAAACGACTTGAGACTCTTCAGCTTTGTTTGCAACATGGGGAGAAGTGGAAGGTGAAGTCTGGGGAGAGATCTGCTCCTAGTGCATCCCTGGAACAATGTCCTCTCCAACGTCTCACAAGTTTACCTCACATGATATGACCATCCTCGAATCCAGCTTGTCTTCTAGTCTCATACAAATGTCTTCCCTTTTTCTCTGCTCTCATTGTACAATCTAGATCCTGTAGCATCTGATTCTAGATGTTTTCTAGCCTCCTGTCTCTAACACCATAAGGGCAGATAAAGGTTTAGAGCATCTACTAGACCAGGACCACCCTATTTTTACTAATTCCTGAAAGTGACTTTAGGCAGCAAATAACATTTTTAACAACTCCTTGTTCATTAATAAAGATTTACCACTGGCTTGAGGCTTTCATGGGCCAAGAGACATTAATAGGGAATTAGGATGAGTTGAGGTTTCTGTTGACAGTTATCTGTGGAAGAGGACCTCTAGGTTACAGAACCCAAATGGAATGCATCATATATATTTCCTTCCAACAGACTAACAAAAGCTTTGTTTACTTCCTAGACATTTCCATTTCTCACACACTGTTAGTCCAGGAAACTCTATTCAGGAAGACCCGGTGCAGGTCTTCTGTCTTCTAGGAAACCATCCATAAGCTTTGGGGTCTGGGCCAGATAACCTTCCTTTATAGGGTTACAGCAATCTGAAGGCAATTGCATGCTGGTGACCCTGAATTATGCCCATCCCAGACACTACTCTGTTTGCTCGAATACCTATATGTGGATATTTCTATCTGAAGAACTCACAGGGACCTCAAGAAGAAAAAGTAAGAGTATATCATGTCCCCTTTTTGTACAAAATATATGTGTGCTCATGTGCACACACACAAACTAATAGAACCACACAACTTATGGTGGAAGAAATTACAAACAAAAAGGTTGCAGAACACAATGGTCCCCTGCATTCCTCCTATCCCACATAGAATGAAGTCCAGGGTGAGCATCCCTAGACTGGACACACAAAGGCAAGCTTTTCAGTAGAGAGGCACTCCACCCCCACAAACACCATGCATATTTATAAGAACTGAAAGTGGAGTGGGAGCATGTAGGCGACTGGCACAATAGCTGGGGCTTCCTGGATGAAGATATAACCTTGTTAAAACAGGGAGGCTCCAGTGGAGCTCAGCCGCCATTAGTCCACTCTTCCACTGAGCTGCTGGACCAAATTCTTGCTAAGCTACTAAAAGTACCCACAGCTCCTTGACCTTCAAACAGATGCTACTCCTCACCTCTCTTAATGGAGATGAGAATGTTCCATTTATTGATTGAACAACAATTAATTGAGTCCAGCCATGTGCTAGTCAAGACATGACCAAAAACAGACATGGTCCCTGCACACATGGAGCTTACCACCCCATGAAGAAGTCAGGTGTTAACGAGTTATCCCCTGATCACTGTCTCTCTGGATGCCATAAGTGTTTGCACATGTACACACATTCACACACATGCATTTTAACATTTTGTTTTGCTTAGAGAATACAAGGGATTGCGTAAAATTTTATTTTCAGCTTTCTTAAAACACAATCCTTATATTTGAGCATAATTTAATGTACTATTCTTCAAAATGTTATGACTTTCTGGTACGCTATAATTTGCATGTGCCAAAAATTACTTGGCCAATTGACATTTAATTTCTAATGTTTCACTATTATCAATAATAATGAAACCAAGTCTTTGCATCTCTGATTTTTGTCCTATGTCCTGAGAAGTTACTACCCACTAATTTGTGCACAGACCTGTCTCATACACTAACAGTCCATATTCACAAGATTACATTCCTATTACCTTGTGACAAAAGTAAATACTTAATTACTTGTATTCTATGTAACAGAAAGAAGAAACACATATTCTTCTTATCCTCTACTTATATTCTTCATATTCTTTTTCTATATCTTTGTTTTAAGAGAGTTTTGACTGGTGGCTTGGTTTTTTTTTTTTAACTTTATTGGTTCTTTTAGTTATACATGAGTGTAGAATTCATTTGGATACAATTATACAAGCATGAAATATATTTTATTCTAATTAGTACCCCATTTTTATAGATGCACACAATGATGGAATTCACTATGATATATTCATATAAGAACACAGGAAATTATTTCTGATTCATTCCTCTGTCTTTCCTTTTTCTATCCCCCTTCCACCCTTTTCTTCCCTCTAATTTACTGAATATCTATTCTTC